TCTTCTCCTGACTGCTGGGATGTTAGTGTTTGGCACGAAAAGTGGGATGGTTAGGTGGGGTAGAGGAGGGGGAGGATTTAGAAGAACTTTGGGTTTCCTCTGTTGCAAACCTTTTGCGTAAATAAATAAATAAACCTAATTCCTCCAAGTGGGGCTGCAGCCAAGAAAACTGCTCTGAGAGAATTCAGATTTACGGCAGAAGACACTGCTGAGAGAAAGAGCGAGAAACAGAGACAGTGGAGTTCCACCTCCCATGATATATAGAGCCAAGGGAGGTATAAATACCCGTCACTTCCCGGACCCTCTTTTAAAAAAAAAGACAAACACCCAGGATCCTGTCTCTGGCTGCCTTGCAGCAAGGCGCCCTCATAAAAGCTAAGATAAACAGTTTATCAGCAGATGAATGCACAAGCTCTGGTCTGAAGACAAAAGTCTATACCTTAGGAAAAATGCAGAGGCAAGAGGAGAGTGGGCTGAGAATCAAGCACAGTATTTCAGGAGGAAGAATGATATGAAATGAGAAAAATAGAGCAATTCTATAAGGATTCTTTTAAGGCAATGGGTACATCTCTATGTATATCTATACTTAGACTAAGAAAAAACTTGGGTTTTTTCTGGGGTCTTCTCTTTTTTTGTTGTTTTATTCTTCATTGCTTTAATGGATTAGTTATCTTAGGATTTACTCCACTATAAAACATTCATCCCATAGCCAAGTTTCAAAATATATTATTTATACATCATTTATCACTGCAGATAAAGATTCTTGGCCAAATGTATCCTTCCCTGTCTCCCTTCTGTTGGGATTTCAGGGCAGAACTTTTCCCTGTCAAAACATGTTTTACCTTCCAAAGTATGTGATTCATAACTGTTATCCTTCAGAGCAGCTGATCACCTGCTGACACTGGGTCATCCTTAACACAGTCTTTATCCTGCAGCCCCTTCTGTGCATCAGGAATGGGGCAGAGTCACAGCACCACATTTCAAAGGTCCAGCAAGATCTCCCTGAATCTTTCCAGACTAAAGAATATAGATTGAAAGTTGTAGAAAAATGATTTTCTACCGGTGGTGTGTGGATACCTGGTTGAGGTCATACATGACCCGTGATAGCTCATAATGTAGCTTGTCATCTGGTATATTTGAATCATGTAAAATGGATGAAAGCTGTACATCTCCTTTAGCATTTCTTTAGGGATTCACAGTTTAAAAAAAAGGTAGAAAATTAATCTGTAAGGAGCTCTCTATAAAATTTATAAGACTGTGACCAAGGAAGGGGGAACTGGTCTAGGAGCTTGCTAGGACCTAAGACTAAAATTTAAGTGATTTTAATTCAGTTGTCTGCTCTATCAAGTACAGGTTTTCTCTATAGTTTTATTAAAACACTGGACTCTTCCGTCTGCATTGATACATTGATACTGGTAGCATCTAAATCAAACTCTCCAACATCTCCATGTAAGAGGCAAGGATTAGCATTCCTGCTCTACAAATAAGGAAAGGCAGACCTATGAAATGTGTTGCCCAAAGCCATACAAGAAATTTGCATGAGAGTTGGGCAGAGGATTCATTTGGTTATGGTTTTGGTTTTCCTTTCCTTAACAAACCATCATTGTTTCATGCCAATAGATTTTTAAAAATAAGAAGCAAAAGGCAATGCGATCATGATTTAAATAATCTTTAAGTGTCTGGGAAGCAAGAATAGTTTCAAGGAAGCCTCCACTGCTAAGGAAGGCACAGCTTTTCCAAGCACACCTGGCATAGTTCTTCCTCATCCCAGTTCTGTAGTGGTTTCTTACTTTCTGGGAAATTCCTTCCATGTTTCAGAGTGGTTCGTGCATCGTGCCTGAGAGCACTGCTCCACAGCAGACTGATTCTACACCATGGGCTGAATTCAGAGGGGTGTCCCTGAGCACTGGCTTGGGTGAAGTAGATCAGGCCATTTGCCCTTAGTAGATTTAATAGGAAACAAATTTATCCTGAGTTCTTCCTGTGCATCCTCGCTGCTGTGGACTGCAGTCAGCTGCTTACATAATGTGTTTTCAGCGCTGTGCCTGTGGAGCCGTCAGCAGGGCCGTGCAGGCTGCATACCTCTTCTCTCCTCATCAGCGATGTGACCCTGCAGAAGTGGCATCTTACTCTTGCCCACATTGGCTTCCTGTGTGCCTTGAAGGCTGTATTTGCTTTGTCTACTGAAAAAACACATTTTTACTACTGACAGCACTCCAGAACCAATAAAGCTGAGGCGAAAGGAGTTGTTTTCTACTCTGCTTCATGCACCATTGCCAGTAGAATGACCAGCTAAGGCCTCTGTGAGCTGCTGGCCTCTCTCCCTATCCCAGGAAGGGTTGGCATTGTACACAGAGCCTGGATCACACCCTTTTACCTCCAGGTTTCATTTACTGCTGTTTTCAGCAAACCCTGAAATAAACCAGTTTCTTTTCTCTCTGACCCAGAGGCCTCTGGCAGGGTCACTGGCAGCTCTTCCCCAGTCCTGCTATCAAGCCATTCCACCCAGAAATTCTTGGGCCACAAGTGACTTCTGTCACTTGTGCATCCCTCGAGCTTTCCCAGCCTCGCCAGGAGCCCAGTGCACCCGAGGTGAGGTGGACACATGAGCTTGAGCAACTACTGAACTTCAGCCTGCTCTGCTCACAACAGACCTTTACCTCATTCCAGAAACTTCCTCCTACAGGTAACTCAGTTCAGGAGGGAAAGGTCCTCCAGTCCTTGCTTATGGTCACAGTTTGGATACGTAGAATTTTTAACACACATCTGGCTTGAAAGAGATGGAACTCAGTCCTTATAGGCTTTGCTTTTCAGACTTAGAGGCCAGTAGTTGAAGAACTGATTTCAAATACCAGCTGAGAAAAACTGGATTTATTATTAAAGGAGAAATACAAACCATTAGGTGCAACTTCCGAATTTTTGCTTTCTGTTCTGTTTCTGAGGTGTGCCTTCTCACTTATATCCAGGGACAACTTTCATGCCAAATTTCAGCAATGAAAGTTTATGAGGTTCTTGATGAACGTAGAGACCTCAACTTCCAGATGTAAAAAATTCTAATAAGGCTCCAGATCATCTTTGACTGGCATTGTAGCAGCAAGTGTCACTGTGAGGCTCTTGTACAGTGTCAAGTTAGGGTTTTTTCTTTTTCATGTAATTTTTTTCAGTTATGTATTATAAATAAAATACTCTATATGCTATATAAAATATTCCTGTATGCTCAGAAATAAAGCAAAGTAAGAGTTGTTTTAAATTGAGAATTAGGAGTGAAAATAGTGGAAAAGTGTAATTTTTATTAAAAACACACAATCTATTACTTTCGTAATGAACCCAAATATGAAGTTTAAGATTTAAACAAATGCATAAATAATTTAGGTGAAATGGCTAAGCTTCAGTCCCATTAAACTTAGGCTCCTAAGTGCCTAAATAGCCTGCAGGAATGGGATTCAAGCACTTGAGGAAATTTTACTCAAACAGTAATAGACCCTTACAGCAAACTGCCTGCCGTGCCCAGCGAGTGCTCTCTGCGAGACAGTAACTCTGCCATGGGACAGCATTTACTATCAATTTTTAAATTGTTTTATGTATTTGCCATTGAGGCACTTTCCATCTTTTCCTGTATGGACTGAGGGCATAAGTGGAAATTGCGCTTCTGATGGAAAATTGTTGGAGAACTCCCTAGAAAATCGCTAAGCAAGTGCTCCGAGGAGGGCTCCGAGCGGGGCCGCGCAGGCTGCCGCAGCATCCGCCGTGGGACCGCAGCTCCGTGCGCGGGGTCGCGCCGGTCGGGAGCGCCGGCGGTGCCAGACCGCGTCCCCCCTCCCGCAGCAGCGCGGGGGCCGTGCCCGCCGGCCCTGCCCGCGCTCCCGCAGGGGTGCCGCGCTGCCGCGGGGGTCCCCCCGCTCCGCGCTGCCCCGCGGGCACCCCCGGCCCGGCCCGGCCCGGCGCGGCGCCGCCAGCAGAGGGCTCGCTCGGCCCGGGGAGCCGCGGGCAGCGCGCGTCCGCAGCGGCGCCGCGGGCGGGCAGCGCACCCCGCGCCCATGTGCGGGGCTGGCCGGGCGGCCCCCGCGGCCGCGCAGCGCGGGGACGGCGCGGGGAGCCCGCGGGGCCCCGGCGCGGATCCCCTCCGCGGGCGGCCGGGCTGGGCCGCGCCGGGCGGGCGGGAGGGGCCGCGCCCTGCGCTCCGCGCCCGCGGGGTGAGAGCGGCGGGCCGCGCCCGGAGCCGGCCGGGGAGCGGGCGCCGGGCCGGGCGGTGCCCCGGGCAGCGCAGCATCTCCCGCCCGGGGCGCGGCGGCCGCTCGCGTGAGCGGCGGCGTGCAGAGGGCGGGGGGAGGCGGCGGCTCCCGCCTCAGCCTTCCCCAGCAGAGGGTGCCTGCCGGTGGGAAGGGGGAAGCCACGCTCTCCTGGACTTTTGTGGGAGTGGGGGTTGTGTTGTGTGTGTGGTGGTGTGGTGTGGTTTTTTTTTTTTTTTTAAGGGGGGTGGGGTGGGTTAGGAGAGAGTCTGTGGTTTCCATGGAGATGAAGCTGAAAGTGCAGGAAATTTAAAGGCTTTGGGTCCTTGCAAAGCAGACAAACTGGTGCCAACGTGCGTGGCTGCTGTTGCTGCTGAGGAGGCTGCTTTGCAAACGGCGGAGAGGAGCGGGGAGGAAGAATCGGCAGCAACTTCTTCCACACGCACGGGCAGACAACGAGGAGCGGCAGCAGCCAGCAGAATTCTCAACAAAAAGAGGCATCTCCCGTTCCCGGGAAGGGCGAGAAGAAGCAGCAACAGCAGCAGAATTTTGGAGCGGCTCCACCGGGAGAAATTTTATAGAGAAGGCTACAAGAGAGTGTTTGCAGGGGGCTTGTTCTCCGGTCTTATCAGGGGGCTGTCTTTGCTGGTGGTGCGGCGAGTGGAGGTGATCCCGTCAAAGACGAGCTATTTTGGATATCCCCGTACAAGTTTTCTGATGTATTTGCTTGCACCTTCTTCCCCTGCTGTTTGGTGAACCCAGCCCCCCTTCCCCCCCCCCCCACCGGTCTCCCAAGGATGGATCATTCCCAGTGCCTTGTGACTATATACGCTTTGGTGGTTCTGCTGGGTCTCCGGCTAGAGCAGGGCGTCTGCCAGCACTATCTGCACATCCGACCTGCTCCCAGCGACAACTTGCCCTTGGTGGATCTAATCGAGCACCCGGACCCTATCTTTGACCCCAAGGAGAAGGATCTTAACGAGACCTTGCTAAGGAACCTCATGGGCGGACACTTCGACCCTAACTTTATGGCTATTTCCTTGCCCGAGGACCGGCTCGGAGTGGACGATCTAGCTGAGCTGGACTTGCTGCTCAGGCAGAGACCCTCGGGAGCGATGCCCAGCGAAATCAAAGGGCTGGAGTTCTACGACGGGCTGCAGCCGGGCAAGAAGCACAGGCTGAGCAAGAAGCTGCGCAGGAAGCTGCAGATGTGGCTTTGGTCCCAGACTTTCTGCCCGGTCCTATACACGTGGAACGATCTCGGCAGCCGCTTTTGGCCCCGGTATGTCAAAGTGGGCAGCTGCTACAGTAAAAGGTCTTGTTCAGTCCCCGAAGGCATGGTTTGCAAACCTGCCAAGTCCGTGCATTTAACGATCCTGAGGTGGAGGTGCCAGCGCCGGGGAGGGCAGAGGTGCACATGGATACCCATCCAGTACCCCATCATTTCGGAGTGCAAGTGCTCCTGCTAGAGTTGGCACTTACCTTCTCGCCCCTTCTCCAGCGGACTCACGTGGACCTTTGCTGCAACAGAAATAAAAGACATTTGCTTTCTGGTTAACGTTGTAATGCACTGTAACCTGTAGGAGAATGTATATTGTGTGTATATATGGCACCGGTTTAATATACTATTAAAAGGTCAGTATTATACGTGAAATAATCAGCGTCTACTGTATTTTTAAGACTATTACCCCGATCGTTGCTAATGTATCTTTTTTTTTTTTTTGTATTTATATTCCAGAGAGAAGTTGCTTCGTTTTGGCGAAGTAGGTTTTTGTTGGGTGTTTGTTTTTTTTTTTTTAATAAAAGGATTAAAAAATAGAAACCAAACTTTTTGATAAGAAAACGTTTAAAGCTATTTTCCATTATTCGGAAAGCGTGTGTGTGAGATTTTGGTTTTTTTTTCTTTTTCCTTACGGACTTTAGATTTAAAATAAAAGTGAATAAACGCCTAGAGCACAATGTTATTGTAAATAGAGAGAACAGTTTGAATGACTTAATCCTATGTAAATGAAGAGTATCTGCTATTTATTCTTTATATCCTTGTAGTAAAAGTGCAGTGCAGAATTAAAGTCAACCACTAAAACACGAGCCGTTTGGATTCTGTTTGCTTTTTGGTTTGGCCGCCGTCGGGGGGGCTTTCTTCTCTCTCCTCGTTCTCCACGCTCAGCAGGACGTTTCGTGGTGGCAGGGGGAGGTGGGAACCTGCTCACGACTCTGCTAGGAGGGACTCTGCGGCACCTACCCGGCCGGGGTGCCGGGGGGTCCGGCCCCGTGGGGGGGTCCCGGTGCTGCGCTGTCCCCCCGCGGAGCCGCTCCCGCGGCCGCGCAGCCCGGGCGCGCTCGGCGGCAGCTGCTCGGGGATTTTTTTTTTCCCTTTTTTTTTTTTTTTTTAACTGCTTGACATTTCATTTACAACGGGACACGTGTCTTTCACACCTACCATTGTGGTGGGACACTGCTGAAACTTGACCCCTGGGCTTTGGGGGTTTTCAGCGCAGACACGTTATTAGGCTGATCCTGTGACAGCCCCGCACACCGCCCGGCCCGGCCCGCTTTTAACTCTTTGGGCTCCCGCCTGAGCCGAGTGATCGCTCTCCTGCCGGGCTGCCCCCCCGCTCTTCCCCGGGGAGCGCCGGGCTGTGCGGGTGCCCCGCTCCCGTCCCGCCTCCCGGGGCCGCCCCCGCCCGCCCCCGCCGCGCTGGGCCCGGCCTGGCCCGCAGCGCTCCCGCAACTGCCCCGCGGCTCCGCCGGGACCCGGCCCAGTTCCCCGAGTGTTTGACTTCTACGTGCCCGGGGACCCGACGGTTCGTATCTCATAGATACCAACTGCGAAAACAAACCCTCCACGTGCTCTTCAGAGGCTCCTTGACAGTGCAAAAAAAAAAAGGCTTTTCCTTATTTATCTTGGAATCAAAAAACTTTTTTTTTTTTCCTTCCCCAAAACTCGGAGGGAATCGATGCTAATCATTTTAAACCCGTGGGTCTCTCACTGAGACAGCCCAGCCCTGCTTTTCTCTGACGCTTAGTTCGGTATCTCCAAATGCATATTCATTCCCTCTCTCCCTCTTTCGGTGCGTTTTACCGCCCGTCTCTTTGCTTCTAATTTCAATAGTTGGGGGGGGGGGGCGGGAAAATCAGATCTTGGGACATTTAGGGTATTCATTAACCTAGTGAAGAGGAACAGAGGCATTATTACTCACATAGAAGGCACCCTGCCCCCATGTCTATCTAAGGGTTCATTGTAAAAGGATTAAAAGTTAAAGACCTTCATCTTATGATTCTTTCATTTAATCTTCGTGGCGCCTGAAAGACATGCTGGATGGATGATCACATTTAAAATATTCCTAATGTCGGCTACCTTAGGACTCCAGGCAGGGCAAACAAACGTAATTTATTTCCAGAAGAAAGGGTATATTGAGATGTTTAAGTTTATGAACCACCATTACCATGTATATTTGTTAGGTTCTGACAAATACCCAAATAACATTAAAATCAGCCATTCATCACATATGAATTTATGCAAAACCTTGTATGCCTGGGGCCAATATTTTTTTAGACAGAGTTTCACTTGCAAAAAAAAAAAAAAAAGTTTATTTAAAAAAAAAAAGGCAAGAGTTTTTCATGACTGGTAAACACGAGAATTATGTGAACAGAAACTATTTCATGCTGGGATGGCAGCCAGGGACTCGGGAATGTCAACAAAAGTTCTCCGAAGGTTGAAAATGTCACTGGATTACAATACAAGGTCCTTTGCCCCATTAGCAAACTTTACTAAAGTAATATTCCCACTACTTAGTGAGGGGGCTCACCCATTGATTTATCTGTCGGTGATCCCAGCAATGGGGCAAACAGAGACTTCATCTGGAAACCACCTCTGACTGCTTGCTTCGAGGCTGAAAATGTTTCTGTGTGCAGAGCTGTGTATGCCTTGGTGAGTGTTGTGCGAGTGCAAAAGGAGTGTGCTGTTAATGTAGTCTAAGTATCTATCAGCAGATCTGTCTTATTTTTATTCCAAGAGTCATTGTAATGAGAGAGTCATGTGTACACATGTGCTTTCTCAACCAATAACACCCTGTTAATAATAAATTTACAAGAATATTTTGGGTTTTAAAAAAATCAAGTTTCACCATCCGCAAGGCCCATGATTTTTTTATTTAAATAAATAGCTAAATTTTGTCAGCTGGTAAAACAAAAATAAACTAGTAGTTTTCACTGTTGTTTCTGGTCAGGTCCACTTTCTGGTCCTCCTGCCCTGGTGTTGAAATGTTTGGCTTGAAGTGGAAGTGTTTCAAGCCAAACAAATAAAATATCTTTCTGATGAATATTTCTATGCAAATCTATTTAATATTGGATTTTGTAATATGTTTTTAAAGCAAAATTGAATTATAGCTCTTTTAAATAGAAATCAATTCATAGCACAGCCAATTTCTGTTTGCTGATCTTTGTAGTGGCATCGTAAGACCTCACAGAGACCACTGTGGGGAAGAAATAAGAAGGGAAAGGTTGAAAGTTTGCTTTTAGCTACTCTTCAGTTTCTTCTTTGGCAATTTTAGGGTCTGAAAGCATAATACTGGGAATTTAAATTAATTTCTGCCTCAGCCATAGGCTGTGTAACCTCACTTGGGTATGTAACCTGTGTGCTGTAGTTCCTGATGAGTGCAGGGTGTCGTCATCTTCTTCACTGTAGTTAGTCTTTATCCAGAATAGTTTGTTCTCTCACACCATGTGTTTATTCAAAATCCACTATAGGTAAGGCCTAAGAGTAACACAATTGATAAAAGCATAAAAAAGTAGACCAGAATAAGTTGTCCAGAGGTTTGTAATAAGCTCATTCAGAATTAGTGCAGGTAGTGTGATGAAAATCAACCAGCTAGAACACATTAGACACACCAATAAAGTGCTGTGCCCTCACATATGTACTTAACTGAAAAAATAGATTAGATTCTTTTTATCATTTTCAAAATACTACCACAAAGGTGAATTCTTGAGGTTGCATGAGTGCACGGTGGAGTCATCACCAAAACAACCACAGCCAGAAATTACAGCAGTAATATTTGTATAAATACTGGACAAGTTTTTGCTCTCTCATAGTTTTAATAGAGAAATAATCTTAATTTAGTAACATCAACACTTCACCTTACTTGGGCTGTGTTGTGTAAATGTAATCTGCACACCACGTTGGCTGGATCTTGGACCCATTAAAAAGAAGATATTCCAGCTCGGAGATTTGCCAGGAATCTTCATTGAAAGTTGAAATAAATATAATGACGTCACCATATAATATAACATCATAGCTTTCAAGGTAAGCCAAACCAAAGGTATGTTGGCAGGGGAGTGCTGCCACCTGGTAGATCCATGCTAGGAATAGATACGATACTCCCGTGCAGAGGGGAGGAGAGCAGCCACGCTCCTCCTGGAGTGCCCACACGGATCGTGCAGTCTCTCTGTGCCTGCAGGTCCTCCGGGAGCCTCGCTGCACCAGAGAGCTGCAGAACCTGTGTCAATGCTCTCTTTTAAGAGAGCAGCTACAGCAAATTTGAAGAGACCCTTTCATTCCCTCTTCCCTGCTCCCAGGCCAAGCAAGAAGCTCCAATGGTTAAAAGGAAGGGAATGAATACATTCGCTTGAAACAACTGTTGGAATGGTTCAGAGGGGGAACAGAAATATTCAGCAATCAACATTAAAGACTCTAAATCCTCGGAGGTGTTATTGCAGGATCAGCAGCTTACAGCCCTCTTCGTGAAGGCTGGGTACCAGTGTATTACTGTTAAGTCCCCTGCAGCTTGTTGCCTGTGGGGAAAGCAGCTGCTCTGTGTGATGGGCTTTTGAAGAGTCTGGGAGAAAAGCTGCTGGAAGAGAAATGTGCAGGGGTATAACGTCACAGTGAGTCACTTCTCCCTGCTGAACTGAAGGACAGGAGTGCAGAGATGGCACAGTTTAGCCTTTGACTGTGTTGGGAGACAGCTCAGATGGAGACCAGCTGAGAGCAGATGCTCTGGGGCTCACTGGTTGTGCGTTCTGCCCTCTCTAGGGGTGTATTTATGCTGCCTTCAAGTATCATTCTGTGTCGGCGCTCAAGGCCAGGCCAACCTGTGTGTGCAGTCAGGCCTGGTCAGCCTGTGGATGTCCTGGAATGCTTTGGAGCCATCCCTGTGAGGGGCTCTGGCAGTGTGCGGGTGCTGCTCTCCAAGAGCTGCCACCCAGCTGAAGGCAGCAGCACACACATCCTAGCACTGACCAGCCTACTCTTAACCTAAGGCAGACATTCCCCAGGACTCAGGTCTCTCCCTTGGAGAATCCCAGTGTAGTCACTGCATCAGATAATCATAACACAGTTTGAAAATAGGTTTCACACTCCCTCCTCGTTGTTTTTTTTCCCCTCATGAGAGGGGGAGTGGCAAGGCTGCCATCACAAAGAACGTTACTCAGAACCAGAACAGATCTTAAGGCACAACACTAAAAACCTGTATGCAATGGAGAAGGACTGGGTGGCTCGAGGGATTGGTAATGGTATAAAGAGCTTTTCACCACTAGGCTTCTGGCTCCGATCCAGAGGTAGTAACTGAAAGCCACAGTCATCTGATGCCTGCAGAGTGGGCTCTGTAGAATGAGTTGTTGGTCTGTGCATAGATCCTACCAAGCAGGATCCAGATCACAAAGCCACCACCAGAACTGACACGCTTGCAAGGATTCTCAATCCAAAGAGCAGAATGAAACAGGAATGGGGATGTTTGATCTGTGTTTGTGATTTAGTAGCAATAAGAGGACGTTGTTGTTGGGGATTTTTCTGTTTGTTTTGTGGGGGAGGGATTAATATAGGAGAATATAACCAGTATAGTCCCTTGTATTGATACAACCCTTATAGTATTTTCCTTCTGGCATAGTAATATCTTTATTTTTGGCCTACACCTGGCAGCTTACTACCTGGCTTGGATGCACAACCATGATCCAGAGGAAGACGCAGCAAACACAAGAGCCAGGCTCTGCCACATTAATTGAAGTTCGTGCTGCACTGGATGGTGCAAATAACTTCATAGTAAGTGCATCTGATGCCTACCAGTACAAATACCTTAGTTATTGCAGTGACA